GCGATACCAGTCCCAAAATGGAACAACAGCCCAGTGATCCCACACGGCAAGATCTCCCCTGAGACGGTGCAGGTGACAGTCACAGAGTGCAGTGCTTTGTTGCTACTCGTTGTAGGAACAGGCTGGAGCAAGCAGGTGTTCCTGTGAACTGCATGCACCGCACACACACACACACACACACACACACACACACACACCACTCGGCTGCGTGGGTGGCAGCAGTTTCAGGCTTGTAGCATGGCCATGGGGGCAAAGAACTCCGACCTGCTGAAGTTGGGGAGCACGCCCTGCAGGAGGGTTGCATAAGAGCAGCCAGCGTGCTTGGAGTGGTTCCCTCTGAACACCAGGCAGCTCCCCCGTACCTTGCAGGCCTTATTGATTAAATGATTCTGTTAGCAGCAGTGCTGGTGCATGGGATCGGGGAGGGGTGGTAGCCACGTCCGGAGCCATAAATCAGATGAGACTGATGGGGCAGAGGTGCTGGGGTGACGGGTAGATCACATCAGGCACAGTCACAGGAAATTTGGTTTTGAGCTGCAAAGCCACTTAGCGGGGGATCTGATTCTCAGACCTAGCAGTCCAGCTGCAACCCACAGGGCAGTTCCCCCCCAAGAATGCAGAGGGCCCAGGTGCCCTGTGTGAAGCCGTCCCTTCTTGCAGGTAACCGCTGAGTGTGGAACCCAACACAAGGTCGCCCCGGCCGGGTAAATGGACGAGAGGTGTGCCAAGCGAAATGCACACAGAGCCTCCAGCCCCCTCTCACCTGAGATGGGAAAGGATCTTTGAAATATTAAGGGCAGAGGGAAGGTGTTGATGTGGGAATCTGCCCCTCCCTGCACTAATCACAAAGAGGCAGATGCAGCTGGAGGCATCTGACACAATTGGCACATTGTGGGGGAGGGGTGCGGGCTCCCTGCAGAAAGCAAAGCGTTGCAGACAAGGATCTCCGCTTTCCTCCGTCCGTAGCCCAGGGAAGAGCTGGGACACTTTACCTCTGGGCACTGCCTGACAACTTCCGTTGAGCCGGGAGTTTCTCAGGTCCTATGAAGATGCCTTTGTCCTGCTGTCCAGATGGGAGCTCTCCAGTGCCCGATTTGGATGGCTCTTTGGCCCACATCAGCACCCGCTTCCTGCGTGTGACCAAGCTGCACGGGCTGCACTACATGGGCTCGCGCCCGCAGTCGTGGGCACAGCGCCTAATCTGGAGTGGGGCATTCGTGGCCTCTCTGGGGTTGCTGTGCACCTGGTCAGCCCATCGGGTGCAGTACCTGCTCTCAAAGCCAGTGCACACCCGGGCACATATGCTCTGGGACCCATGGATGCCGTTCCCAGCAGTCACCTTCTGCAACCACAACCCAGCAAGGTTCCTTCATCTCACAAGGCCTGATCTGTATTCAGTGGGGCACTGGCTGGGACTGACCCACAGGAACCACTCCCTGCTAGCCAGTGTCCTGAAGGAGCTTCCAGAAGAGCGACAGGCCTGGCTCAGCCGCCTGGCCAACTACTCACGCTTCCTGCCTCCGCGCCTCTCTCCACACACAATGGAGAGTTTCTTCCATCGCATGGGTCATCAGATTGAGGACATGCTGCTGGAATGTCACTTCCAAGGCAAACCTTGTGGACACCAAGACTTCACCCCTGTGAGTGGTTTCCCTTCTGTTCCTGGTCCTGGGAGTGGGGCAGGGAGCGTAAAGGCTACAGGGATGCGTGGTCAGGATCAGTGAAACAGTTGAAGTAATCCTTTAAGCACTTGAATCGCTGATTTGCATATGCAAGAGGGAAAGGGAAAGATTGGAGGTTTCGTTTACTTTTTCAGTGCATGCTTGAAAAGCAGTTCAATGATTCTCATCCGTATTAGTTTGGATGGGTGCGGGTATTGATTCAGAGTATAACACATTAATCCAGAATCAAGGAGTATGTGCTATAAGGCTGCAAACACATGAGAGACAACTGCTCTGCAGTACAGGGGCCCATTTCAGTCCTGGAGCTGCTCTCAGGGGCCATGTTCCAGTGATGGATGAAGCTAAAGGCAAGAGCAGTGGACCCCAGATACCAAAAATAGCAGCACATGTCGGTTTAATCCTTAGGAGAAGCGTTTCAGTCTTTTAGAATAGGGAAAACTGCACAAGGGCAAGGAAACCCTGGAATGACTGGCAGTCATGGGAAAGGAGGTGCGGTCAGCTGGGGAGCCCCGGAGGGCCAAGTGGTCTGAATTGGCCCATAGACCTGAGGGAGTAGCAGAACCTGGACCAGAGAAACTGGTGGGCCATTTATATCACTGCCTTTCACTTTGTCTCTTCCGAACTCCCTGCGTCCAGCACCCTCCTATCTTGCAGGAAGGCAACATTCCTTTCTATGGCGAATAAGATGCCTAAACCGTGATTCAGACTGCTACTGCTTATCCTCAGTCATCAGACAGTTGGCTTCATGGTTTGTCAGCTCAGCTTCAACACAAACATTTTATTCATTCATTTGTTCGTTCATTTCCATTTCTGTGCTGCCCCATAACTCAAAGGTTCTCTGTGCAGCTTACAGTGCTAGTCCAGCATAAAAGCATACACAAATCACAAACATGGCACCGAGGGCAGCCTGGAGCTGTTGCAATGAGGGCATTTGCTACCCTCATCCATTTAGCCTGACTGTGCCAATGTAGCCACCTAGAGGTGTGTAGAAGATACAGCTTAGGAGATGCCCCAGAATGTTCTCTGATGCACAGGAGGGGCATGGATGTTTCCAGAGGTTCTTTGGTAGAAAAGTCCATGCAGAAAAGGAGTCCTATGGAAATGTGAGGGCTGCTTTCAACTACATTGTGGAAGATCCTGAGTGGGTGCCAAACCATCACAGAAAGAGAATGTGGGTAACCTGGAGTCCCTTCACATGTGAATTGCATGAATAGTGCATACATCAATGGATGAGGGGGAAGGTTGTGCTGATGCACACTAGGGTGGCCGCATATCGATCACCAAAATAGAGGAAACACATTGTCGAGCAAGAGGATACAAGAGGACACCAACTTTCATAGCATCAGCATTTGCTGATCTATATGCATAGATGCAAATTTAAAAATAGCTGCTATATTTTAAATACAGTGCTTGCTCAGCCTGCTTTCCAGGTGCTCACAGTTCTGATGGTTCCTTGCCCTGAAGCCTGATAGTTTTTGAAACAGAGGATGCCCTAAAACAGAATGCTGTTCTCCATAAAGTAGGACACCTGGCTCCCTATAGCGCACTGCTGGCCTTGTCCTGGACATCTGCACATTGATATGGACCAGAGAAGCCCACGAATGGGCAATTGCTCATCCACCAGCTTCTGTGCTGTCCATGGGGGTGTCCCACTCTTGTGGAGGCATACGTGGAGCAGCTGTACATGGATAAGCTTCTTCCATGCAGAGGTCCACACCAGCACATAGCAGAAGCAACCCTAACCAACCCACTCCCCAGTCACTGCACAATGCCTGCTTCGTGTAATTCACCCACAAGAATTCATTGGAACAATGGAACATCCCAAAGAGAGGAGGAGATCACAAGACTTACAGAGGGAAAACAATATGTTTGGGGAGACCTAAGGGTTGCCTGTTGTTTTTCATGTGGAAATGATGAGTACTATTGCTGTGGATTGGGTTACTGTGAAATCTAAGCGTGGAAATCTCAGCTCAGTGGAAGGACATTAGGGTTTGAGGGGAAAAAACATGAAATGTAGGCTAAGCTTCCATTTTAGTGCTGTTTTCTTGGCAATCAATACTTCTGCTCCCTGGTGTCTTAACGGCATTCCTACTGTACCTATTATCTCCCTTAATAAACTACTTGTTTTGATGTAAGGTACAAGTTCCGTGCAGTTTAAGGTACTGAACTGGGTTGATCAAAGTATTCTGTGTATCTGGATTCTATAGAAACAAGTTCTGAAATATTTCTGATGGATGCCAAAGGGTTCAGAGATCAGTAAGGTCAGATGGTGCTTGCCATCTATTTTCTGTAGAATGATTAATTCCAGCATCCTGACAGCACCTGGTAAACACAAAGAAGGGGACACTTTCTCTGAATGGCTTGAGGGAGTAATTGCAATTCCCAGATGTGGAAGGGGCCCTCATTACGACTTGTGGGATACTAGACTTTGAGTGTGATGTTTGTGCTGTTCCTCTGGAAGTAAGTGATCATGCAGACTGGTGTCTTTCTTGCATCTCTGGACCTATTCAGGTGTTCTTATCATGTTCAATCAACACATGAAGAAAGGGAACCCTTGGCCCAGGGAACCCAATTGAGAACACAGATTGTCCAGGATTCTTAATTGTGAAACGTAGAGAGTCTCCAGGGATATAGGAGAGTCTCCTCTTCAGATATTTGTCCTTCATGAGCATAGATGCAACAACAGAGGTGGCCAGGGCTGGAATGTCCTTCTCCTCTTACGTTGATTGAACTTGGTCGGAAAAAAATACCTGATTAGACCTATCTTTCCCACATGCTCTGCTTTCAAGGATCAAGTTCAGTTTCTCCACGTATTTCAAGGCGTGCAGCGTACGTCGCACAGATGTAAGAGCCCTCCTGCTGGAACAGCTCAGACTCTGAACTAGTCCAACATCTTATTTCTCACAAGGGTGAGAAGCACTCAGTGAGGGCATGTCCTCTGCTCCTCTGAAGAACATCAAGCTCTTTCTTATTCGTGTATGTTTCTCTCTCAGCTTCTGACAATGCAGCCTCACTCATCTCTGGCTGCTTGCAGTGTATTTAAGCCCAACTCACTGCCCTGCTGTGATGGCTTGGCCCAGGATTTGATTAAAGTGGCCTGTACAGAGCTTGTCAGGTGTGTCATGGTGAAAGATATGTTGACTGAGGGAAAGATGAGACTTGAGCTGGAACAGCAGGCGCGTTATTCCAATATCAGGTCACAAACTTTGACAGTGATGAATGGGACGTTTCCTGCTGCACCTGACTTCATTGGCATGTACACTTATCTGCTGAGCTTCTCAGCCTGATGGCTTCCTCTACACTGTCTTTTGTTCGCAGGTTTACACCCGCTATGGGAAATGCTACACATTCAATGGTGATCGAAACAAGCCACGCGTGACACGCCAGAGTGGGATGGGCAACGGGCTGGAGATCATGCTGGATATCCAGCAGGAGGAATACTTGCCCATCTGGAGAGAAACCAGTAAGAGCTGGTGCAGGGCTGGATGGAGACCAAAGGGTGGCTATTTTGGAGTCTTTATGTCAGTAGGAGTCATCCATGCTCACAAATTTCCATCATTTTGTCTAACCCAGTCTTTATTTTCCTGACACCAGTAACCTCTGATGTGCATCACAGATGTTACTAACCAGCTCCAAAAGCTACTGGGAGGGGTTAGCTGGGTGGGTATGTATGGAAGGAGGGCAGCAACATATACACAGCAGAAATACCAAATGGCACATTCTTACACACTGTTTAAAAGTTTAGGAAATACAATAGCTGAATAGCAAATTGTATATATTTAATTTTAAAAACAATATAAATATAAGTGATTATATATATTCAAACAGGACATTTATTTATATTTATAAAAGAGATGTGCTGTTGAATACAAAATACAGTGGTCCTGGCAACATACCTGTGGATTTTTAAAATTGTAATATATAGTGATAATTTTAAGGACCAGTGACTTGTGAATGCATATCTGATAAGGATAAGTAATGATTTCTCTTGATAAGAATGAAATCAGCTGCCACTGTGGTTGCAACAGCCAGGGATAATGTATCAATGCAACAGGTAGTACGGATATAGCATTCCCTTAACTATGGCACGATTGCTTCCCCTTGTAGATGAGACATCATTTGAAGCTGGAATCCGGGTACAGATCCACAGCCAGGATGAACCACCCTACATCCACCAGCTGGGGTTTGGAGTCTCTCCTGGTTTCCAGACTTTTGTGTCCTGCCAGGAGCAACGGGTAAGGGCAGTGGGACGGAGGTGCAGGGAGAGCTCCACCTTCAGGAAAACTGTGCCCAGAGATTCTGGGGTTGGAGGGTTGTTGAGAATGATGAAGGACACAGCAAGAGATGCCTCTGGTTGAGTGTGGTGGTAGATACAGGCAGTCCCAGCCACACTGAGCAGCTTGAGAAGGATAATGCATGATTCTTCCGGTTACTGCTTCTCCCTTGAGCTGTCGTAGGAGGCACCAACATGGTGACTGTCAAACAAGGATCTAGTCTTGAACGTCCTTGTAACAAGAGACGTTTGATATTCTGGGAACCTGGAAGGGGCTAATTTGTGCTGTTTTAACCAGTCAGACTAGCTGGGCAGAGGAAGGAGCTCAGCTGGAATTCCACTGGCCTGTTAAGGCATCTCTTGCATCCAACTCCAGTCCACATACAGATTATGCTACTATAGTCAAGTCCACTTAGGAGATGACACTAAGGGCGGGTCAGCATGGATATTTTAATCAGACCTTGTTTGCTGAGGAGTTAAATAAAGCAGCAGCGCTACTTCCTGTCAGCCAAGAGCACAGCAATATGATGCGTCGGAATGCTATTCGGTACTCTACTCCCTTTCAACTAACTCACAATTTGAAAGAGACACTGAAGTGTCTGAAGATCTTTTGAGGTGGTTGTCTTTGTTTGTCTTTTACAACCCCCTTTTTGATTGGGCAAATCTAGGGTTTAATGCTTATTCCATCTTTCCAGGGAACCATGGCAACTACAGTAGATGAGCAGGGATTTCTGGCCCAAAGTAAAAAAAAGTCAGTATTTTTCCAAACTACGACTCCCAGTATTCTTTGAGGAAGCCATGTAACTTAAAGTGGTATTAAAACAATCACATTTTGTATTGCAAATAAATATTCTCTAAGGGGAAAAGAAGCTGGTTGATTGATTAACTGATGGCCATGGAGGAGGCATCTAAATGGCATGGGCTGGCTGAAGCTTGTTATGGTAAAATGCATTTCCTATAACAGGAGGGAACTTTGCAAGGAAATCCAATCCAAAATTCAGGCCTTTGATAAATATTCATTCATCAGAAAATGCACTCATTGCATTGTACACTGTCAATTTAGTGCCTCCTTTCCTTCCCCCACCACCTTCAAATTAAACTCCATCCATGCCACCCAGCTTAGTTTTAATTTTAGCTCCAGCACCAGGCAGTGGGCAATTTAAACATTTTCATGCATATCAGTGAATTAGCATATGCAGATGAGGACTCTTTCTTCCGTCCATCCCAGGGACAATTTTTGATTAGAACTTCACAGCATTACAATGAAGAGAAGCCTTAAGTCAACATTTTGTCATTTGAAAGTTCAGTTCTTTGCATTCTTGCAGCATTTGCTGATTGGCCACATCAGGTAGGCTTTCTAGTTAGAAACTGATCTCAGAAATAGGTACATTCTAATCGTCTGTCTTTTTTGTACCATTAGGATTCAGACAGTATATGTCAAATACATATAATAGATACCGCCCTGGTCCACACTTAACAACAGCCCGTGTAATAGATTTGTGAACTGTGGGTTGTTGTTCACCACAAACTCAGAATTAAACTGAACAACAAAAACCAATGAAGAGAACCCATTTTTGCTGTTCAGTTGTGAACTCTGGGTTGTTTAAACCATGAGTTGTCCATGGATTGTTTTATCAGTCTAGAATTGTGGCAGGCAAGAGTGATGAAAGCAAAATAGCCACTCTGCATGCTGCTACTACAGTGCCTCAAAGGCTCGTGAGATACAGAGGGGGAGCAGGCAAAGGGACAGAATTTAGGCAGGACCAGTGGCTTTCCTGAACATCTGGTGTCCAGATTGTGGGTTAATTCTGAATACAGCAAGGACCCATGAATTAAATAAAACATGGATTGTCTCTTCGGACAAACCAGGTCACTACATTACAAGATACTGCACACAACAACCCTATAAGTAAGGACAGTTTTGTATTGGGAGGGGAAGGAATGCTGAGACTGAGATAATAAGGACTGGCTCATGGCCAGTACAAGATCTGAACTGGGGACTTCCTCAGCTCAGACTTTTAGCCTCTGAATTAGCTCTGTACAGAGAACTAGGCTGCTTGCTTCAGGGTTGGAATAAAACTCAAGAGTCATTCCAGGTACCTGTAATGAGATTATAAAATAAAACATGCCCATTTAACTCTGAAATGTCAAGCAAATCTGTAAAATCAGAAGTACCTGTATTTCTTTCCTACCTTAATATGGAGTCCATGGATGATGCCTCAGGTATAGGACCGAGCTTTCATGCTGATGGGGACAAAACCCAAGTAGCACCCAAGGTGATCAACAAGAGAGCAGGAGCAGTGCTGGAGCGCCTGGCTGGAAGATGGGCCTCAGTGGGAGCCGCGTGATCGTCCCCAGAGCGGCACCCACTGGCCGGAGCCCCACTTTTGCACTTAGCCTGCGCCTGTTTCTTGCAGCTGACATACCTGCCCCAGCCCTGGGGAAGCTGCCGGGCCAGTATGAAAGGGGAACAGATTCTGCCTGGCTACGAGAGCTACAGCATCGCCGCTTGCAGGCTGCAGTGCGAGAAGGAGGCGGTCGTGCGGAATTGTCAGTGCCGCATGGTGCATATGCCAGGTAAGGTGCCGCTTCCTAGCCTCTGAGTGCCTCGGGGATCGGGCCCTCAGCCTCTGCTGCCTGGCATTCATTTTGCTGTGCACTCTTAGCTTATTTTGAAACTTTCTTTCTGGCCTCACTCCTGTTGATTGAATGGAACAAACTGCCATTCAGCAGGTAAGTTGATAGAGCATTTCTCAGCATGCATTTCTGTGCCAATATCTTCACCTGATAAATATCGGTGTGTCGGACTAATATGAAAGACTCCCGGGGCAGGAGAATGATTCTTCGTAGTCTCTCTACGCATCCTGCCTCAGTCCTCATACTCCGCTGTGCCTATCACTCCGAGGGAATAACTTGCCCCCCTAGTTAGAGGTGGGAGAAGCGACCCCCTTTTTCACAAGCCTCTGGTGAGCTTGCCCATAGCACAGATCTTTGCTCTGAGACTTACTTACTGAACCAGATGTGTGATCTTAGGTGCTTCCAGATAAAACTTTTATGAAGCTGTCATTTGCAGAATTTTCTTGGGGAAGGCAGTATCTAGACCAAATCACCTTTGACTGCTTACCCTCCTGTGTTTTACCACCACTTTGCCTGTATTTCTTTTTACCACAAAAAACCACAGAGTGGCTTTGCACCAGGACATTTCCATCTGCACGCTTAGGCAACTGCTTAGAATTGCCTAATGAAATGACCAGGCTCCCCTCCCCATTCCTACCATTAATGGCCTGAGCTCAAATTAGGGTGAGGAGGACATGACTAGGTACTCACTAACCAAGTCATTCTCTATCAGGTAATGAGACCATCTGCTCACCCAATGTCTACATTGAATGTGCCGACCACACACTAGGTAGGTGCTTCTGTAAGTACTGAAAAGAGCCAGCCACTGAAACCTAAGTGGGGCAGCTGGGTAGTAGGTGCCTTCAGCCCAAGGCAGGGTGGGGAACTGCTGGCCAGTGAGGTTCTGCCTGCTCTCCGAAGGCTCCATCGGTTCTGCTGCTCCCAGTTGCCTTGACATGGCACTTGCTGGAATAGCTGGCCCTGTTCTCCACCAGAGAAGGGAAATCACTGGAAGGAAAGCTCCCCTCCCAGAATCTGCTGGTTAGCCTGGTTGCTCAGTTTAAGGCATCAGCAGGCTGCTTGGTTTGGGGAATGGGAAGTGCCCCCTGTGGGTGCATTTCTGAATATGCCTGTGGGGGTGCATGAGAGAGTAAGAAAGGGAATGTGAAAGGATGGACAGGGTGTATGTGAAAAAGAGGGGGTGATGATCTTGAATGGGTATATGCATGGTATGTATGTGGCTTTGGCTCTGCCCTCCACTGGCATGTGGCTCCTGGAAGATTACCCACAAGGGAATGTGACCCACAGTGTGGAAAGAACTGCCCCTCCTGCTCCAAGGAATGGGGCTGAATCATTAGCATATCACAGTCTCTGAGCCTGAGTCAAGTGGGTGGTACAAGGGAGGAAGGAGGCAGCTGAGGGAGCAGTTGTCTGGCCCCGGTTGGTTCCACCACCTATAGCAGCCTCCTCCAGCCTGGAAGGGTGTGGGGAGTAAGTAGTCCAGCAGATCTGGAGGGTACCAGCTTGGGGGAAGCTGGCCTACTGCTTGTACTGTCTGTGAGGAGCTGGGTTTCCCCTTATTTGTTACTAGCATCCAAACCACAGAGTCTCTTTGCAAAATCATTGTTTTATCTTTATTTTCAAGTCACAGCTAACAAGCTGCAGCAACTGAAAGACTAGTCTCTGTGCATGAGCAGAATGGTTAATTGAACATAACCTAGGAATTGCATTGAAAAACCCTCCTTTTCAGTAATGCTGGGCTCCACCCCTCTGGGTGGGTCCCTCTTTAGAAAGGGGAGCCTCCGCGCTCTGTGCAGACCCACCAGTGGGTCAGCTCTTCTAGCCCAGTCATGGGTGTTCAGTCTGCAGGATCTCTGCCCCAGCACCTGCCGCTCAAGAGTCATGGGTCACAGGATTGTGAAGCAGACTCTCCCCACACCCCTTCCCCATCCTGCAGCCCACTCACCACATAGCTGTTGAGTAAACTGGTTGGAGCACCGTTGCAATGGGGAACCAAGCCTGTGGGGAAGACTCTCTTCAGCTTCCTCCCGCCCTTCACAATCCCTTTCCCTCACCTGAGAGCCCAGAGCAGTGGCTGAGCAAGATGGAGGAGTTCTCAGGCTTAGGCAGCCAGGTGAGCTGCAACGAAGGTGTCTGAGCCCGCTGATGACCACCTGTGACCTTGCCCATGAGACATCCACCTGGAGAGTGTGCTGTGTGTCACCGTGTCACAGGTGGGTGGCTTGTGGTAGCCGTTGGCCTTCTCCGGAGCGGTATCTGTATCAGGACTTATGCAAGCCTCTCTACTAACAGATACAGCCGTTGAAGATTCCCAGGAACGCTGTGTGTGCCCCACGCCCTGCAACTTGACACGCTACGGCAAGGAGATCTCTATGGTGCGCATTCCCAACAAGGGCTCAGCTCGGTACCTTGCTCGCAAGTACAACCGCAATGAGACTTACATCCGGTGAGTGTCTCCTTGCTGATGAGGTCCATAGGCTTCGGGTGGGGGCGAGAAGCCTCAGACCCACAGGTCAAATCAAGCCTTCCAAGGGTTCTCCACTCCTATTCTCAGGTGTGGCAGGGGCTTCTCACTGGGACCAGGAGATGATTTTGTTGGGGATTTTATAAGGGAAAGGCTCCACCTTATAGTCCTTTGACCCCTCCATTACTTCCACCATCCTCAGGGAGAACTTCCTAGTGCTGGACATCTTCTTTGAGGCCTTAAACTATGAGGCGATTGAGCAGAAGAAGGCATACAACCTGGCAGGACTCCTAGGTAAGTGAATGTGGACAGGCATTCCTCGCCCTGCCACCATCCCGGTGCGTGGCCTATTGCTCTGGGGAATTATGCAGACAGGCAGAAAGGTCTGAGAGGTGTGAGAAACCTGGTTCTTAAGTCAAGACTGCTCAGGTGGCCCAGGCCCAAGATTTATAGTGACACGTGGCCCCTTTTTGGCTCCTCCTGTCACTTTGCGGTAATAGGTGCAGAAATGCCTTCTGGCCTCCAGCACTGTTGGTACCTCGGCACACCGGGAAGCAGCTCAGCGTCGCCCTCTGTTGGCAAGCCACCACACCGATGCACGGAATAAGGCTCTTGGGCTTGGTTTCTCGGCCCCTCTGTCAAGCACACACCCAATTCCAGGCCTGTGGTACCTTGCTGTCTGTTGCACACCCAGCAAGGGGTTACGTCTCCCAAACCAAACTGCAGTCATTGCTACTTCACCTTCTCCTTGCGCTCCAGTTTGAAACCTGCTCTTCCAACCTAAGGACTTGGACTATCGGAAAGAAATGGGGGGGACAAGCGCAGCGGTGTGGAAGGAGATGGCAATGTTCTTCTCATCCTATTTATTCGCCACCTTTCCTTGCCCCTCCTCCAAGGCCCCATGCAGTGGCAGCGATCCTGACTTGGGGCCTTTCGCCATCCCTGCCTATCAGAATCTGCAGCACCCGCCCTGTTGCTTCGGATGCACACGTCTTCCTTGCCTTAACCGTCTCCTTCCTCTTCTGCTAGGGGACATTGGCGGCCAAATGGGCCTGTTCATCGGGGCTAGTGTGCTCACCGTCTTGGAAATCCTTGACTACATCTATGAGGTGAGGGTCCACCAAGGGAGAGAAGGGGTTGGGCTGGAGGGGGGGGAGAGGTGGCTTCGGCTATAACTTGGTGCTGACCAGCAGTCAGAGGTTTCATCTCGGAGTCTCAGTTGGGGAGGCAAATCCACCCACATACCCACACATTAAAATAGACCGTGTTCTTGTCATCTTGCTGACAGCTCTGTCTAACTACTGGCCTTTTAGCTGTTGAGGCTGGTGATCCCCACGTCAGCAGGGCAGTGTGAGCACCTCAGGCACCTGTCTGAACTCTGGTGGAGCTGTCCATGGTCCCGATCCGATTTTGGGATTCTGGGTCAGCACTGTGGACTGTTCCTTAATAGTTCTGACAAAAGCCCAGAATGGATATACCACTGCAATGACACTGGAGCCAGTAGCCTCCACTGCTCAACAGGCGAAGTCCTGTATGTCAGAGATCAGGAAGGACAGGCTAGAGGGGAGCTGCCCAACTGAGAGCACAGGAACAGAGATGCCTGCTTCCAGCTGAGCAACTTTATAGGGGATGCTGGGGCCTCACTATTTTCCTGCTTTTTCTTTAGAGGCCTGATCCAAAACATACTTCCTTGATACACTACCAAGACCATGCTACAGCTACAGCAATGTCCTGACACATTGCTGCCATTGTTGTTGGGCTGGTCTTGTTGAGGTTCCACCCCTCTAATATCATGGTCTTCTAAAATGGGGCATCATTCCTGGTACTGGATTCAGAAGTGCTATCAGCATCCTCCAACTTCTCCTGGCCTTCGGAAACACTAGGACTAGTGGCAGCCTCCTGCTCCTCGGTCTCCTCAAATTCCAGGATTATCCTTCCAGGAAGGTGGTCGGAGACAACAGTTCTACTATCCGGTAGTTTTCTGCCATTAGCTCCTTGCACAGAGTTAATATTCTCCCAGACACAGAGAGGTGACTGCCCTTGCACACAGCCAGTTCATTCCCTTAAACCACAAGTGGGAAAGCAGCAATCTTACAGATGCTGTTGGTTTCCAGCTACCATCAGTCCCACTCAGCAGGGCCAATGGTCAAGGGTGAAGGATACTGGAGCCCAACAATATTCGGAGGTAGCGGAGAGGCACAAGTTCCTCTGTCTCAAGCTATTGCTGTCATTCCCTGCAGAGCCAGCACCTGGATCTCTGCCTGAGGGGGAGCCAGTAACATCTGCTTCAGAGTCAGCTCCAGCCACCAGCTATGTAGCAGATACTTACTGTTGTCCTTGCAGGATGTTTTAGTGGCTCATGATCACTTGCTAAAGGGCTCTGGGCCTCTAGGAGGAAAACTGTGAGCCTGGAAGATCTGGATGGAGTCTCACATGATAGAGGAGGGCAAGGGGGGAAAACACAGTATGAGTTTGGTGGATTTGGTGGGCCGCTGTCCATATACAATGCATCTGTTGCACCACCAAGCCGTGTTTAAGAGCCTAAATGGCCGCCGTGCTGCCCTCCTGCTTCTTTCTTGCTGTGCCCAGGTGATCCGTGACAAGGTAGCCCATGGCCTACGACGTCCTAAACCACCTCTGAAGAAGCCTTCAGGAAGCATCGCCACCCTGGGACTGGAGGAAATCAAGGAGCAGGTGAGTGTGCGTGTGCACGTGTGTGTGCACATTCCTCTTTCCACTCAGATGAGCTCCTGCAATCACCGTGAAATGGAGGGGGGGTGGTTTAGAGGGATAACCGGGCAGTATGCAAACCTTCCCATGTGCCAGTGAGAGCCACTGCCAGCGCAATGGGAAGCTAGAGGCTCCAGGAGCAGCTGGATACGAGCAGAAGGCTTCATTTCCAAAATGGAGCAGGCCAGTGGAACTTGCAGAAGGAAACTTTGTTGCTCTTTCCAGACTGGAAATAAATGCTTCCATTTGTTTTCAGAGTTGCTTTTTGAACTGTTGGATTCCTGTTGGGCAAGTGATGGGTCCTGCCACAAATAGCTAATCCTGTAGTTTCTTCCTCCACTTTCTATAGAAAAAAGCAGCCATACAAATAAAAGAAATTCTTGCAGGAGCCCTCTCCCACCAGATCTCAGGGTAATTGAAATCCCCCTTTACTACACATCACACTTCCTTGAAATGCTGAGTGTTTGCTTATCAAAAGATATGTCCTTATCTTCTCCTTGTTTGGGTGGTTAGTAGTAAACTCCTACTATCATGTTCCTTTTATTCCTTGACACATTTATTTTAACCCAGCTACTCTCTATGGGCTACCAAGGTTCATCTCCCTATATTTCTGTGCACTGATAAGTATTTTAAGACATAATGCAACTCCCCTTCCTATTTCTTCTGTTCTTTTTGAGCAAGTTATGCCCTTCCTTTGCTATATTGCACTCATGGGAGTCATCTCATCAAGTTACAGTAACACCTCTATCAAGCTGTATTTGCCTCCATGTGCTAAGAGTTCGGCTTCATTCTGTTTGTTTCCCATACTCTGAGCATTAGTGTATTGACACTGAAATCTGTGTGCTTTACAATCTGGCTTCTTCCCTACTTTACTGTGAAGCCATTTTTGGGGTGCTGCTGGTACTCTTCTCTCAGTTATGGTGCATAAGCCTTCATCCCCTGTTGCTTCCATCTCCCTCCTCAGCAGGATTCAGTTTAAAGCCCTCCTGATTTAATTCTTCATGCTGTGGGGAAACACATTCTTTTGCGCTCTCGTGAGATGCCCTTGTCAGCAGTCCCTCTTCCAAGTTGTGTAGTCTGTGGTCCCAGAACTCAAGTCTCTCACATTGCCCCCACACTTTGTGGCTAGTCCGTCAGCCGGACTATTTTTCTTTCCATTTCCATTCCTCTTCCAAAAACAGGAAAGATAGATGAGAAAACTTTCTGGGTCCCAAAGTTCTTGAGTTTCTCTCCCAGAGTTTCGAAGTCTGATCTTATTCCTTTGTAGTTCAGTATCATTTGTTCACACATGCATTAGAAGAAGGAGGTGTGTCCGTGGGCTTTATGAGCTTTAGCATTCTTTCAATCAGCTCTCTAATATGAGCTCCAGGAAGAAAGCATACCTCGTAAGTCCATGGGCCATCGCAACACACTTGGTTTCAAACCCATGTGCCAAGGCGTGTCCCACAATGACTACTCTTCTTCCTGGTCTTCTTCTCTTCTTGCTTCCTGTCGCACAGCTCCCCTTGCAATTCTTCCCCTGCAAGCTCTCCTCCAGGGGCTGAAAGCAGTTAGCTCTAATGGTTCCACTGGTGCAGAGTGTCTTCCAGTTCTTCTTCTCCTGCTACTGTTTTCCGGGGAGTTTCCTTTTCACCAGTTTCTCCATACCTGCTGCCTCTTGAGATCCACTGTTCTTTCTAACTCCTCATTTTCTCTTACCCTGAGGAGGGTGGACACTCGCCTCTCCAGCACTCTCACTTTTTCTTCCAAGAGTGCAATCAGCTGGCATTTGCTACAACCGTATGCCACATTAAGCTCATTGCATGTGCTTTGCAGGTCACCGCTACCGGAGATGCCTCGCCAGCCATTGTGTGCTATAGAAGTGGGATGCGGGGGGGGGGGGGGAGCGCACAAGATGTGCTCTCATGTATGCACACCTATGCTTTTGTAGTTGGTGGGTAGCCATGCACCTCTGCATATATATATTTTTATGTGGAACCATTGTGATCCTACTAGATAGTGGACAGTACTTCTCTCTCTCTCTCTCTCTCTCTCTCTCTCTCTCTCTCTCTCTCTGTGTGTGTGTGTGTGTGTGTGTGTGTGTGTGTGTGTGTGTGTGTGTGTGTGTGTGTTGGGTGCAGGTACATACTGTGCATGTGTGTGTATGTAAATGTACAATTCACACACAGCATTTTCCTCCCCAGCTGTATGTGGTTTGCTCATACCTGTGAGGTGGGTGAGGCACGGGGCCACGTGTGCTCACGTCATGCACCTCCCTTGATGAGATAAGGCTGCTGCCACCATGTCCTTCCAGAAGTGCCACATCCAAGGTTTTGGCTCCACCTGTGAATGCTTGGTCTTGAACACTGGGAATGCACTGCAGGACCAACCTGGAGAAAGAGTATTTTATGGTACATAAAAACAGAGAACAGCCTTCTAGTTCAGCTGCACATTTCTCATGTTCAAGAAATTTAGTGGTCAAACAAATGGCAGCCTCTGCTTGGTTTCTTCAGCCATAATCCCATTTGGGTTGTGACAGAACATTTACAGTGACCAAAATATGGAAGCAGGTAATTAGCCAAGAATTGGAGTTACTGCACAATGAGACGGACAGGGCTACTTTCAAAGGGATTTGAAAGCCGAAGGAGATACCAGATCTCACTGTTAGACAGAGGAGCCCTAAGCCAGCGCAACTGATCCCAGGCACAGAGCTGTGCATCTAAAGAAGCCAGATTCCATTCATTTGTTTAAGGTGGTAGGAACAGGGAGTCCTGGCCCAAGTTAGCCCCCCTTGGCATGGCCAAGGATCTTAACTCTTGCATAATACTCCAGTATGGGAGTGAGCAGTATCTGGCATGCTGAAACTTGGCAGAAGGCCATTGGAGGAGATGGGAATTGTGTCTATGACCCATCATTTCTTGTTCCTTTCTCAACATGGTTGCTTGCTGACCCAGGAATGAACGAACACACACACACACACACACACACACACACACACACACACACACACACAGAGAGAGAGAGAGAGAGAGAGAGAGAGAGAGCAAAATCCTGAGAAGAGTGGAGAGCGTGCATTCATAACTTTGAGAAAGAGACCAAGAAAATCGATCACAGATGCAAACAGGGCTTCCCCTCCATCTCTACCCTCATCCCCAGAAACAGTTTCTGTAGAAATTGACCAATGCCGCAATTGCCTAATGAAGCAAATTGGTAAGAAAAGGAAAGATGGCAGGATATAACTGAGCAAATGAATCTAATCTATAATAGTAACTATTCTGAAAACATAGGCTGCTTGCAGAAGACGTGACTCACAGTCCACCACTATAACTCTATTTGCCTTTAAATCAGGGAGCTAAGCGGTGTTAACATTGCACCCATGATACGAAAGATGCAGCAGCTCCGCTATCGGAGAGCATGAAAGAAGACTGCTGGCTGTTTGTTCACCTATGAAAAGGAGCTGTTTAGAGATCGTATATTTAACAAGATGCTGATAAATCTCAGACCTCAAGCAAAAGAGAAGCCGATAAGGCCATTTAGCAGCAGAAAGAGTGGGCTGGGAATACCTAAGATTGGAATACAAGCTAACATTTTTGCCTTGCTGAAACCAAATAAGGAGCCAGAATTACTCTGTTTAATTCCTAGGCAGGGACACTGACCAAGTGACAGGATTCGACCCACAGACACATGCTTCAGCATACAAATCAGCTGTCATGCTGCCTGAGGGGAAAGACAGCATCCATCAACAAGATAATTGAAAGCAGAATTGAATGGATTACCCCATTTGGATTCCTGTGCAGAGGCCATTTGGAACAGCGAGGAGCATAACATTGTGCAGGTTTCTTCAGAGCTCCTGGTTCCAGGGTTCAAGGCAAAGGGGTCTAGGAAACTGTTGCTGTGTTTGACTTGTTTCTTCCTTTTTTTAAAGGGGGAAACTTGCAAGCAGAAGCTTCATTTGTCACAGTCACTGCATTGCACAAAGGTTGAGTATGTTGGGCCCATCCTGCCCACCTCTTTTTTTTTTTCCTCCCCAAATTTGGAAATAAGAACCAATCTTTTTTGTTAGGGAATTGGGTAGAAAGTAGGGAAGAAGAAAAAATTGCAAGGAAAGTGAGCAGATATGTAAGCTAAGGAGACCCGCCTTAAAAACTAAGAGGAGTCACAAAGTGTATTCTAAGTCAACATGTGTATGAATGTTTGTTTTATTAACGATGAGGGATAGTATCCTGCTTTTTGTTTTTAAATGAAATTTTGAATTCTCAGAATTCCCCAGTCTTCTAGATTCTGAATTGCAGCATGTTCCATGGTACAATCATGGCTCCCAGTCTAAAGTAATTCATAATGAATACAGATACGGTTTACCCCCATACAAAGTCCAACTCCTCAGCATAGGAGAAAAACCACTATCAAAAGTGCTAAGGGACAGTAAGGCAAAGTAGGAAAAGCCTGACTATTTTTGCTGTGGTCAAGCGATCTCCTTACTTCACCTGAACTATTACATTGAGAATGTTTTTCAAAGAGGTGAGAGAACCAGTGCAGTTGTAGACTGCAGAGGCTGTTGCTACTGTGAACCACAGCGGACACCTATTAAAAGGAGAAAAAAGATCCACCAGATTGTTTGGATAATGGCCTCATTACCACATACTGACACTTTTTCCACTGAGATTAATGGGATGAGAAATCCCTAGCAGCCAGAGAAAGAAGCAGAGTCCATCCACTCATTTAGGTATTGAGGCTTTTTTATAGTTTTTCCTTGCCTTTGCGGAAGTATCTGTGTCCTGATAACCTTTGGGCTATTAGTGAAGAAAAGGAAAATGTCAGGTTCTTTGAGTGGGAGAGGTTGTCCTTGTGAAGCTGAGTGGGTATGATAAGGGCTCCCTTAAGGCCATCTGTAAGAAACCTCCAGTTTATGATTCCCTCCCCCCCCCACCCCACCCCCATGCTGGAAATAGCCACTGCGAACCAAATTGTCCCTATATGCGTGCTCA